AAACAATGCCGCTTTCTATCGTTATTGTATTCAGTATTGCATGAGTTGAGCTTTTACGTATTTTGACAAAATTTGTGAAGGACATTATTAATTTTTTGAATAATAATATCATGATTTTTAAATCACAATACCATGAATATTTGAATCACAACATCATCATCTTTAGGCATTTAATCGTACCGTAATATTATGTAATCATGTTTAAAGATTAAATTACAGGTTAATAGGGTGCAATTCAGAATCTAGGTAAAGTTACAATGAATTTAAACTCTATTATAGTTCAACAGTTTTCGAAATTTAAATTGTTGAATCTCTTATTAAAGAGAAAGATTTCGTACCAACTTTTACAAACTTTAAATTCAGTTTTCTCAAAATAACGTTTTCATACTTGCCGACAACATATTTATTCAACAGAATTTTTTCAGAAATTGGGCACTTGCATATTACTAGTGGACAGTCCAGGAGAGTTCTGTGGGTGGAAGATGCGTAATTTTGAAAGCATTATCCCTTCGATCTTTGATTTTCTTCAAATTGAAGACCAAAACGGAAGTTTGGTTTACGTTCATTTTTCACAAAAATAAAGATTGAATAGCCATCTGTTGCTTTTTGAGAATTACTAAGTTTTGACAATTCAGTAGCGTGGAAAACGGATCCCCTCAAGAGTTATTACACAGTGAAGACAATTCATACTTGGGAATGGTTCCTGCCCAAGGGTAAATCATGTAAGAACGAAGAAAAGCATAATGGATAAGATCACGGGAATACTATGAAGAAGTATTAATTGAGGAATAATTCTGAGGAATAAAAATGGTTTTTTTCCAAACCAATTTTCAAATTTTATTTTTATTTTTAACATCGAAAATTGTAATTTTTTAAAAATGTTTAGGATATGTAAATATTATCATACACTACCTATAAGTATTTGGACTTGTGTGATTGCAAAGAAAGACAAACTTTATTCATAATAAATAGTTGGTAGAGCCTCCACGAGAGGCAATTACAAAGTGAACCCTCCGGGGCATACTTCCCACAAGTCCTTGTATGACGGCTAGTGGCATTTTCTTCCATTCGGCTTGGAGAAGACATGTAAGTTCCTTCACCGATTTTGGACGGATAGTACACCCCTTAATTCGGCGATGCAACTCGTCCCAGAGGTTCTCGATATGAACCCTATCTGAAGACCTGAACCCGGTCTGGGCTCTGGGCAGGCCAGTCCATTCGATTAACCCCATTCTCACCTTACTAATCCTTGGTGACCCTCTCAACATGACAGCTGGCACTGTCTTCCTGGAAGTAACAGGGGTCCACCCCGTAAAACTTATTAACAATTATATTAACAACGCAGGAAGCACATTGTCATCCAAAACAGTGCAGTAGGCATCTTGCATGGGACTAATGCCGATGTTGTTCCCTACACGATATATACCGGCGGAGGGCGTGACATATCTCAGGACCGCAGATAATAGTCATTTGCATAGGTGCCCAAATACAGGGTTATTCATAATTCCCTCTGGGGTTTCGAAGCGTTATAGTAAAAAAACGAAGACGAATATGGCAAAAAAGAACATATAAAATTATTCCGAAAGTATTCAAGTATTAATTTAAGCATTTGCCGGTAGATGGCCGTAACGTGTACTACTGAAGCCAGTTGTAGTAAAGAAAAATGGCGTTTACAGGCAGAGAGAATTATGAATAACCCTGTACTTATTGGTAGATAGTGTGTTTGTATATGCTTTTATTTTTATGATTCCAATCGAATGCTTGCTCTTGTAAGTTCTGAAACCTTGAAATTCGTGTTTCTCAGAATCAGTTTTCATGGACATAAACCATTTTTTCCCTTGGCCTTCAATTCGTGGTACTGCATATCGAGTTGTCTTCGGGATGAACATCCAACAGCTACCATCTTATAATTCTAGTGCGATTTCAAGAACTAAAACAATACTAGTGTAGTTCCTTTTCTGCACGTATGATTTATTTAATTGTGTTTATGTTTTCGAACTAATAAATCGGAATTAATCTTATGAAAAGAATAGAAAATAAACCTTAGTTAATTATTTAACGATAAATTGATTCTAAGTGCAACAAATATTAGATTAGTAATATCTGCTATTTAAAAAAATCCAATTAAGGAAACTTAATGTGGAAATTTAAGAATTTATTTCTTAGGACATATGTTTCTTTGAGAAAACCATGATAAAATTTATTTTATTTTATAACAAGCACGTCAGTTTAAAAGTAGCTTTCGTACTCATGTTTATTTCAAATAATATTTTAAAGAGAACTTTTTAAAACATATATGCTGTAACGCTATTTCAAAAGAAATGAATTTAAACTAAAATATACCGTTAAGTGTTGCTGTCTCGTCTATGTGAGTAATAAATATTTCCAAAATTTGGAGTATGAGTTTTGTGAGCTCTGGCTCATGAGGATTGTGTAGAATGTACTCCGAGCTGAAGCAATGCAGTTAGAATGGCCTGACAGTTGAAAATCTCTTACGGCGTTTATTCATTTTTGGGACAATGCTGGAGTGTCTAGTGGTACTGTCTGGTGACTGCATGTACTTGAAACGTCATATTTGTAGTCTTACTATGATGGATGAGAGGTTTCTATGATAGTTAAAATCTGGAATGAAAGTTTTTTTTGAAAAGATTTCTTGAAACTTTTGCCCTTGGCAACTGCATTGGCGTCTGCAGAGGTGACGTTGTTGAGTTGATCTAAATATTGGGCTTATTTTACACACATTTCCCTTCATTGTTACTATCATATAATTATTTGTACTTGAAAATTGTTAAATAGATCAATAGAGTCGTGGTGCTCAGGGAATAGAGCACTCGTCTCTCAAAAAGGTGACAGGATTCGAATCCCAGGGATGACTGGTCGATGCGAATTTCACACCAGGCTTGCACTAACTATTGCGCTGACGAAAATATCCTCCGTTGTAGACAGATCATGGGTTAAAGTCCCTTGCCGTCAGGCTAACCATGGAAGGTTTTCATGGTTTTAAAATTGCAAGGCTATGAGGTTGAACATAGATGAACGTAAACTCAGAATTGGATCAGCTGTTCAACGACGGTTATAAAATAAAATAAAATAAAATAAAATAAAATAAAATAAAATAACCTGATGCTTGGAAATTTAATTTGTCATAATATTATCAGTTATCACGACATTAACAAAAATAAACCTTCACCCAAAATAGGTTATAAATTATGTAGGTTCAAGTGGGGAGATCCTTGGTTGAAAAAAACGAAAATACATCGATATCTCTGAATGCATGATCAATAAAATAGCTAAATTTCACTTGGAGTAAGTATAAATAGTGGCAGTGAAATGCAATAGTCAGAGTTTTTAATAAAACAGAGATCACTGTTGTTAATCGGTCATATTTTCCATCGCCTTCAAGCTATTCCCTGATATCGTGATAATCTGAAAGTGAAACGCAAATAAATTTTAAATTATTCAAATAAGTAGTTAACTTGTGTGAAGAACTGCAGAATAATTTAACCTATACGATCTAACCTAGAAAACTGTGCAACAGAGTATTATATCACTCGACTAAAGAAAACCACCCGATTTCGATGCACTTGGTTGAAAAGCCACTAAAAGACATCTTCTCAAGGGAATAGAGTCCCGCATTGGACTTATCGTTAAGACACGGTTCCCAGCAGATCACCGAAGTCAAGCATCACTGGCTACGGTCAGTGTGCGGGTGGGTGACCACTTGGATCAGCCCGCGTAGGGACCGAGGGTGTGCAGTATTGGTCCTCGTTAAACTGTTCTACCTTAAAGTGCTTGACTTCGCGTGTAGGTCGTCGGGCTACCGAAGCGGGGGTGCCATCCCCTCTGCAGGATCAAAATTGTAATGGCATGTCTTCGGATCATCCTCTGGGATATTTCCCAGACCGTCGCCAATAGCCCATTGTGCAGCTCTAGTGCGACGTAAATGAACAACAACAACAACAAGAGAATGGAGTGAAGAAAGTGGTTGAGTGAGTTGCCATGACGGTAGTGTATGATACTACCTATGAATTCCAAAGCATTTCTGTGATTAAAAAAAGAATAGTTGATTTGTGGCTAAGTTTTATTTTGTCTAATCACGTTTGAATTGTAGACTGTGGTTAAGTTAATTAATCTAGTAGTGCCATCTAGTGTGAGAGAAGGAGAGTACTAGAGTTTGTTACTCAGATTGCTTTATGGGGATGTAGCGATATGTATTATGTTACTATTTATAAATGCATAAAAGGTATGGACATTCCTTAGCCTGGATCACCAATAGAGGGGGACAGTTAATTGTGTCAGTGATAGAAGATAACTGCACAGCAATGCGTTATGCTTCTCGGCTAAAGTTGATTTCCTAGCCTCGGTAGATTATGTCGCCTTGCGAAGCATCTCCACGTGGTAATATTAAAAAAACTATAATAATATGCAAACTATAATGTACAGAGAAAGCACCTTCAATCGTATGGCATACCAGATATTATCAGTAAAACAGTTTTGCGCTACATCAATAAATTTTTATAGTAAAAATGATTATAGATCTGTTTTTTTTTTTATTTTATTTAATTTTTATGTCGTTATGAAAATTAAATAAAAGAAAAGTTGAATTAGGTCAGCATTTTTTGGCTCTCGGCAAGCCGAAAAGTACCATTTTTTTTAAACCTTCATAAATAAAAACAATATTTTTCTTCCATTTTATTTCATACTGATACATAGCTTTTATTGTCATTGTTTACATTATTCCAGAAAAGGTATAACCAAAATTAACTCCAGTTGACTTCTAAAATGCATTAACAATATATAACATATTGACTCAAGCACATGTATTTGAACTCTCAGGCCTATTATTGAGCATAATAATTAAATGAGACATTAAATCACATCTACTATCGACACATCGACTATCAACTATCATTTATTGAAATAGTTGTACATTTTTAAATTTATAATAACTAAGCGTTAATTACTATGAAGAAGGACGATATTTCTAAAAATATACTTACGTGGCAAAAGCTGGTCGCTCTAGTAATCTGAAAAAAATAATATTAATATTACTTTTATGGCACAAGAAAAAATTTAGGAAAACATACAAAAAAGGAAAATTAAGTGCAGCTCTAATTAGATATACAAACCAAAAGAGTTGTTGGAATTATAAACGTAATTTAGTATGTAAGAGTAATAAAGAATTTTAAAAATTATATATGTAACTTTTGTACAGGGTGTTTTAGAAATACTGGACTTAATGCATACTTAAATTAATATTGTAAAAAATAAAGTAAAAAAAATAACATACATATTAAGAGTTGCGAACTAATGTAAATTTCAAGGGAAAAACTTTTTATGAAATTCAACTAACGATACGAGAATGAAATTATCAAAACATGCTTGATTGTCGCAGGAAACAGCATGCTGAAAAATGAAACATTGACTTATTTTTCGAGACATGAAACATTTCCTAGATAGATCAAAATAAAAAAAAACAATAATTTATAACATATTAAACTTTTATTAAAAATATAATAAGCTGATCTAAAGTTACTGAGATAACGATTAGACAAGGTTAAAATATTGATTACTGCAAAATAAACGTTATTGAAGTTAGAAAATTCATTTACGTCCTCAGTGACATGTAAACATGTAAAAAAGCTTTATTAAGCCCTTAATGGTCGTGGCATTTTGAAGAAAACTGTCATAATATAAGTGCCTATTTTTATTCAAGAAAATACATAGAACTAAGTATACATACAATGCGTAAAAAAAAGTCGTATATTTAAAATTCGATTTCTCAGGTCGATAAGCAACTTGAACTTAGTTGCAGACCAGGTTCACCCATNATATATATATATATATATATTTTTATTATTTTTGCCATTATTATTTTTATTTTTCCCCTCTTTTATTGTTCTGTAATTTTTTCCATGTTTTCTCCACATTTTGAACTTATTAAAACGTAACAAACTGCCATCTTATAGGTTGAGAAATAAACAAGATTTCGAGCATGAGAAACATATTGTTTTAATCTATTTGGAGCGTTACTTTTGAACACTCCATCCCGGAATTATTACGGGCACGAGAAATAGAGGGCAAAACTTCACTACGTTATTTTAACGGTAGCGAGAATGAAAGGGATAAGGTACATTATGTAAAAAAAGCTGTTATTTCTTCAAAGTTTTTGACTTAAAATATTCTTTTACTACATTTTTAATATATTACAAACTCGCAAAAACAAAAAAAGCAAAAAAATACAAATTTTGGAAAATATCATAGATTTTTCCCCAATCAGTACAATCTCTACTTGATAAATCTCTACTTGACAATCTCTACTTGACAATCTCTACTTGATAAATATTAGATTCATGTTAAAGTTTCTACTCTACTCCTTGAAACTTGGATTTAATGAGCTACTAATTTATTTTTTAAAAATTTAATTTTGCAAGAAATATTCAACCGATTTCTTTCAAATTTCGTATTTTGCCGCATGAAGCTACATTCTTTAAAATGATGTATAAATTTGTATTCCTTACAATTGCAAAAGTTGTCGACCAATTAATAATAACAATATAATAAAAAATAATAATTCATTCAAAAAAACTATTTTCTGTGTGGATTTCTCTTTGGATAAGAAACTTTATAATTCTGTGAAAAAAGTTTTCAATTCGCTTAAAAAGTTCTAGAGATATGGCGAAATATACAAAAAGTAAAATGAACATTAAGAGGTAATCATTGAATCAATTAAAAAAAGGTATACGAAACGGAAAAAAGTGCAGTTTTATTTCTGATTTCGTAACTTAAACTATTATCTGCATTAACTAATTAGAATATATTGGATTTTACCTCTTCAAGCCATTAAGATTAAATCCTAGTTCATGAAAATCCAATGATTAGGTCAAAAGTGATTCAGAACAGTTATCTTCTGTTATCACAGTATTTTTTTAAGAAAAGACAAATTAAGATATCCTCTTGACATAATGAGTTGGAAATAAAGTTTATATGAATAGTTTAGTTTACAGTTTACATTTTATGAACTTCAAAAATCCCATACCACATTTTAGTTTTTATAATCTATTATAAATGATTATAGGACATTTCCTTTAGCATTGTTAATGGTTAAATTTAAAATTCAACGTAATTTACAGAATCTATTCTTCTTTTAGCATATTACATTTTAAAACGAAACTAACTGTTGTCAATCTAATATTTGCTTGAAAGCAAGCATTATTTCATAAAGGATTTTTATTATAATATCGTACAAATAGTAATTTTTATAATTCATGATACGAGATTACAACCACATTTTCTTTCTTCTCTTCTTTTTGCGAACACATTATTTCTTTTTAATGTTTAATATCTGAATAAAATATTTTTGTGACCTTTATTTTTCTCTGAGCAACAAATGGAATTACAATTGCATACTCTGGGGACTAAAGAGATTTATTTAAATGTGCAAAATCGTAATGCAATAAATCATCGTAATGTGAAAAATACTATTTCTGGGAAAGAATTTTGTTCTATGACTCATCCCATAAGTACTAGCTTTACGAGAATGCAAACTTAAGCTCTGCACTTAACTTCATTAAGCAAACAAATTGCACTTAAGAGAAAAGTCGTGGAAATTAAAACTCTAAGCGTGTGCCATTTCCCAAATTAACGCAGCAGACCAGTCGTTCTCCCTTAGAACCAAACCAGAACAAACGAATACAAAACTTAAAGCAGCATCTTGTTACGAAATTAGATCACAAAGCTCGAAATTTTAAACGCTTCTCGAAATTGAATAGCGACCGCCATTAAAATTCTCGTCTGCTTCTTTTATACTGTTGCCACCCGCCTGTTGCAAAGTAATGAAAAAGGATTATTTTGAATTCAAGGATGCTAGAAATGCAGAGGTCACGCCCCCTCTATACCCGCGAAGAATTCTTCCTTTAAACTGAAGGTTTTTAATTGCATTGTTGAAATGATACCGAAATTAATTTGGCTCTGGTTTTAGCGCTTTGAAAGGAATACGAAATTGCTTTGAAATAAACCATTCATTGTTAATAATATTCTTCCATCTCATTTATTAATATATTTCGATTTATAAAGTGTATTTAGAGAGATATTCTAATCAATCATTTTAATTAATATTTATTTATTTGCAGTTACGAAGGTTCAAAGTAACTTTTATATTAGTATTAGTGATGAGTAAGAATCGATAATGAGTGGTATTACATAACAACACACACATGACTACTTATTTATAAATTTCCAGGAATAATTTTAACGCTTGATAAGTTCTTTCTCTTAATAAAACTATGCAAGTCGGTTTAAGGAATTATTTTTTAAAATAAATATCTATAAAAATGTTTTTAGAAAAACAATAATATTTGGGACAATATTTTAGTTCAATAAGTTCACAAATTATCAAAATTTTCAGCTCCATTAAGCAAGATGGTAAAGTCACATTAAAGTTAATTTTTAAAGTATTCATGATATTAATATGACATAATATTTTTTTAATATTTGAAACTTCATGGCTAACTTTAAGTATGTCTGAATTCACTTTACCCTAAACTTTAAATTTTAACACACCAATGAAGTTGAAACACAATTCGCGAAAAAAGTTTTTCCAGAGTTTAGCGTCCTATTAAGAATATAACTTCCGCGCAATTGCTGAATAACGTCTTATGAAATTTTTTTTTTTAACGAGATCCTATACTAAGCAAAAATTTGAAAAACATGTTTTCAATAAAATTGCAATAGCAGCAGAGCTAAATGATTATATTTAAATTTTACCCGAATCAAGTAAACAGATAAATATGTAGAACCGAATCTGTGTTTCTACAAAACAAAATTTTTAGGATTCGTAAATAGAATAATAAATTTTATTCTTGATGCATCCACTTTGTGAATTATCAAGACTGTAAAAAATTGTTAGTGTATAGTTGCCACCATTTTTGGTGTTGAGATAAACTAAATTTTTTTACAATGCACGTCCGTCACATTTTTTATTTACTTTTTCACTGCTATAGTTTTTTAATTATTAATTTTCGTTTGTTTGTTTACTGACAACACATGTTTTACAATTAGAATAGAACCAATATAATAACTTCATTACAAAAACATGTCCTTCGAAAAGCAAGCATATTTTTAGTAATATATTCACACTAATAATTTCAAAAAAATCGCTTTTTTGACAAATAAATATTATATTTCACACGATAACTAAAGTTCTATGTTTATAAATCTATTTAGTTTGTTTCAACAACAAAAATTATAGCAACGATTCGCTAACATTTTTTTGAGTGAGGAAACAAAATAGGCTGTGAAGATATCATGGGGGTTTGTAATCAAAGCAATCAAGAGAGGGAGCCCTTTTGACTAAATATAAATCACTATACCACTATGTATTTATTCATCGATTTAACAATTTTCAAGTACAAATAATCATTTGAAAGTAAAAATTATACTCCTTTCATGTTTACCCCACACCTGTTTTTATTTATCTATTTAACAATTTTTAAGTGATAATAAGTGTATGAAAGTAACAATTAATATTACAACAAGTATTTTAAAACATTCTTTACTAAGTCAACAATATTTCCTTTGGATTGTCAAATTTGATCAATGAAGCAACGAATCGAAAGGCCAATTTAGAAGCACTAGAATCCTCATCGTGGAACTCAAACATGCAGACAAATACTTGAGAGCGCATTCCAGATAAGTGAGAAATTCATTATTTATACTTCAATCCTTTTGAATACTGAAGGATTTCTGTCAGTATAATAAATTTTAGCGCATTCAGAAGTCGGTGATTAGCACTAAACTATACTCTCTGAATTCATTAATGTTATGCTCACTAGTGACAACATACAATGTTACTGTATTAGATGGCACTAAATTTGTTTACGGAATGTCTTGTTCATTTGATTTAAAATAGTTATTTAAGCTGTTTATTCGACGTTTATTTTGGTAATACTTTTATGCATTTTAAAGTTCAAAAGTCAGAATAAACTGAAAACTTAAAAGTTAAGAAAATAGTTATTTTATAAATTGA